ATTGTGTCTGTCTTTCCCTGTTTTTTTCTCTCTTCCTCTCCATCTTCCTGTACTCCAGAGCCCCGGGCAAGCCTATCTGAAACTATGCCACGGTTCTTCCAGCTAACGCGCTCAGGTGTGTCTGTCACTATCGGCCCACACACGCACGCACAACCACACATGCACACCCACACAGGCACATCCACGCATGCACAGCATAGTGGACTTCGTAAAAAAAAAAAAAAAAAAAATGAAAATAAAAATCCACGCATGCACATCCACACGTGCACATCCACACATGCACATCCACACATGTACATCCACATCCACGCATGCACACCCACACATGCGCTCCCATGCATGCCCATCCACGGATGCGCTCCCATGCATGCACACCCACACATGCACACCCATGCATGCACATCCACGCATGCACATCCACACATGCACATCCACACATGCATATCCACGCATGTACATCCACATCCACGCATGCACACCCACACATGCGCTCCCATGCATGCTCACCATCGCATGTACACCCACTGCCACTCAATCACATACACATGCGTTCCCGCTCACACACACACACACACACATGCGCGCGCGCGCATGTGTTCGCACTCACATACACGTGCACTAACACATACACGTGCGCCCACACATACACACACCTGCTTACCAACACCCTTTCACAATGCTTTCCTGTCCACTCTGTGTTTGCTGCTTGCAATCCTCCCTAATTTTGTTGTGAATATTTGAGCGTCGCAGCATGTGATTGCGTGCCCTATGTTTTTATTTAGCTCTTTCGGTTTTTTTTCCTTCACACTTGTAGAGATAGTATCCCTAGGTTCTTGGTGGCAAGTTGCCTTAGCTAGTTTAGCAAGCTGTATGCTTCCTTTAAAATATACATAACTGTATGGTATGTACTCACACTATGTTTTGTGGCCAATTTTGACCAGTCCCCAGTTTCGGTTCCCTTTCGCCTCGAGCAGCACTCCTTTTTTCTTTTCTTTTTAGTGATTGACTTTGTATTGATCTGCTGTGACTATGATACTACGAGGGAAGTTGCTGTTTCTTCTATTCGATGCATTGCCCTTTCTTGCCTGCTTCAGCGCTAGCAAGGCGCAGTGCATTTGTTGCAAAGCTGTCATAAGATTTCCAAATTATATCTTTTGTGTACTGTAAAACTGGAAAGTTTAATGAAAATTTGAATTTGAATCACAGTGAAGGACCGTTTCTGGGGTTTGCAGGTAGAAGTAAAGTCTCAAAACAAAATTAACCTTTTTTTGGTAATTTTGGCATGATACCGTGCAGAAAGTGTAACGATGTTTGTAAGACGGAAAGAACATGCATGGCTGTTTGCACATCTTTACACAGACATGTCAAACCGGGTTCACGATAACGTTTCTTCAAATAAGGGACAAATTGGTAATTAAAACGCTAGACATTGCGACTCGTTATACTTTCCGGTTTTACAGTACTGCAGGTTGTGGACGTGACTTCTTGAGTCGAGGAATACATGTAGGTAGTGAATGGGAGTAGATGGCAGCAGGACGGTATGTATTTAGAGGGAGTACTATGTACTAGCTATGAACCTAATTAAACTGAGCACAGTCATGAGCAACCCGGTGTTCAACATCATGCATTGTTACAATACCAGCCAATACAGCTAATCAGTGTGAATGCCGGAGCCGCAGACGATAGCAGATTGCGACCAAGTGGACACATCTACTGTGTTCTGCACACGCTGGTCATCGGGTAGATGGACATGTATCCGGTCCAATGGTCCAGTGCTCCATGCATTGCATTCAGACTTCACTGCACTGTTGAATAGCAGGCGTTGAGTCATACTCCCCGCCGGGATGCTTCACCAGCCAATACACCTAATCAGTGTGGCAATATGACTGGCTGCATGACTGCACACAATATACTCACGACTAACAAAGAGTAGAGACTGAGCACGTTCAGGTTGGGTGTTTCCTAAACCTGACTCTCGTTCACGATTAGGTACCAATCGGGGACGCATGTTCCAAGCACTGGACGAACGGTCCGGGCTCCAGTGGCAAGTCCAGTGGCAAGTCCAGTGGCAAGTCCAGTGGCAAGTCCAGTGGCAAGTCCAGTGGCAAGTCCAGTGGCGCCGTTTCGTTCTTATAAAAGCACGGATGACCGCGATTGGCCCATATGTTGTAGTCTTTTGGACGCTGAGTCGACTGGTTTTGGTCCGAAAAGGCTGCGATGCAGCCTTCCTCCTGTATTCCTAATCGAACATGGTTGAACAAGTGGTCACGTGCTAGTCCTGGGTGCCCAAATGGGGCTGTTAAGTGTGACGTCACGGCCCCTTCGATACGCATAGCAACGGAGAGCACTGGGGACAAACAAAAGTCGCGTCCTCTGGATGGAACCAGTTGTCAAAGGCAACAGCATCTAAATGACTGGAGAGAGAGCAGTTTTTGTTTGCTTTTTCTTCAAGCGATTGTTGTCGCTCTTTACTCCTTGTTCTTTCCTCTACAAATCTCCTGTAGTCGTCGAGGGCCTTCATAATGGCTGTGAAATTGGCTGCCCACCGTAAAACTCCGTGTTTGAGAGTGCTTTGAAGATTCTTCGCGTCCTGATGGATCAAAGTACGAGCGCTCCCTATGGATTCGATTATATGTAGGTGAGTTGTTCAAGAAATCAGTGTCTTCTTTCTGTCTCTGCCCTCACGCTGGCACAATATCAGCTTCTATATCCATGACAGCCCGCACCTCCCGTAAACTGCATGACTTAGATATATTCTCGCCCTCCGTGGTGATTGTAGACCCATGGAAGAAGTTGTTCAGAATGATGTCCTGAGAATATAAAAATAATAAAATAATTCTAGGGAATTGTTACAGGGTATTTTGGAAGGATGGAGAGAGAGAGAGAGAGAGAGAGAGAGAGAGAGAGAGAGAGAGAGAGAGAGCACTGTTTGAAGTGTTTGTCTCACTGTAATTACTCCAGATTATTGAATGGTGTATGATCTACTCGATATTTTCCACAATGGTTTTTCCTGATTTGCGGGATCTCTTCTTTTGCTGTTTGCGTGTTTACAGGAAGTGACTGTCTGGTGTATCTGCACCAGATCCTGGGGAAATGAAGTCAGATGCAGAGGCAGGGTCGTGCAGTGATGCAACATTGCCGTTCTATGTGCAACGTCACCGCTAATTCCCCCGGCGAAACACAAAAAGACAAACACGTGAAGAGACTACAGTATTGACCGTTCTGGTAATGAATCGTGACTGCTCGGACAGTCGATAATCGCCACACAGAGCACCAGCATGATGTTTTCATATTGGGAACCACACGCCAGCTCAATTCTGAAGCCCAAAAATTGATGAATACAAAACACAGAGCGTTGCAACAAGAGATCATCCGGCAACCAAACCAACCTGGGTCTAATGCACTGAATAGTCCTGAAATACGCAGGCCACACAAAGCAGTGCAAGCACATACTGTTACAAGGTACATGCATTGCAGAACAAAGTGTCACCAAAGATACACAGGGCTATAGCTGCACACTCGTGCATGTGCTCGCTCAGCCCAAGAACACGCATGATGATAGAAATAATCCGGGGAAACACGCTAGCACCGAAGTAAGCATCAAGACGTAAATAGTGCAGCTCTGAAAAAGTAAAAATTACATTGACATGTACATTGGTGTGCCGAGTAGTATCATCCTTGATTACCCATCCAACCAAGACGTTGTCAGGTCCCAGACGCCGAGATCGCACGCCGAATGTGAAGTGCATCTAGCCTTGAACCTGTTGCACAAGGCACACGCATATGACAAAATGACATCCACTCCGATTATTTCCAGAGGCCAACCATAACAGAACACAGAAATGAAACCACGGGCTCAACAAAGTAAACGCAAAGGAAATTAGTTAAAATAATCCATGAAGTGCTATTTTAATTCCAGCGCTGACTGCAGTGTGGCGTCATGGCCCGATACCCGCTGAGCATAGACACAAACTCCATTTGACAGGGGCAAGATATACTATTTTGGATTAAAGTCATAAAGTACAGCACTCCAATGACATGACGGACACCTCGTGCAAATGCGTGGTCTGTTCATCCGGCCAACTCGGCCACGCATGAGAGTGTGTGCATGTACGCGTGCGGGTGCACACACACCATGTATTCGGTGCGTATGGCATACCTGTTGCGGAGATATGAAGATGGAATCATTACTGATCATGATGTTACATGTACCGTAAAATCCCGCCAGAGCGCCCCTACCTCCTCGACGCTTCAGGTGGGGAGGGGCGGATGGGCGAGTCCTACTTGCCGCATTCAGTGCTACATGAAAAAGTACTCACCCTACGAAAACTGTTTGTGCATCTCGTACACCGACCAAAGGTCAAGAGCCAGGAGTCGTACAGACCCGACAAAACGCAGGGTTTGTGCGATCCCTGGTCAAGAGGGTGGGCACTGTTGCGTACATTTCCAACGGGGTCGAGCACGCGTCTGCAGTACAGTACGGCATCACAGACTGCGACAGAGTCATACGAGGATACAATCAATCACGTCCCTGACAAGAAGTCAGGGAGGGGCGGATGGGAGAGACGGGGCGCTCTGGCGGGATTTTACGGTACATGTACAGTGTATGTTTGAGTGTAAAGTAAATTTTATTTTACTACACATTTCTTCGACACAACTTACTCCACATCTTCGCATTTCTCATAATCCATCCAGCTACACTCCGTCTCAGTTGAGGAAAATCTCTCCCAAGTATACACTAGTCACCACAGCCATGTGATGACATTGGGATGGGTCCCAAGCACGATTGCACTCTCCAGTTACAATATAATTTATTTGTCCAGATTATCTGCGAAGACAAAATGCAATGCATAGCGGCAATTGATGGATGTAGAGAGAGTTTGTAAATACACATATCGTTCCACTTGTTCAGGAGCTTACCTTTTGGAGTTCACATCGTTTACACGATCTCTTATGCTGTCTTGCACCTTGGCTTTGTTGACCATGGATACGCCATCCCAGAAGACATTCTACAGGAGCTACTAATGCAGAGCGTTTTTCACGCTCGATCTCGGCGATCTACCTCGTCACGCCAATAAAATCCTCCGTGACACTGGCTACAGTCACAAGAGAAGTCTCAGTAAGGTAATGAGCACGACAACGCCGTCGAGATCAAGGACAAAGAGAAAACAAAACACTCACTGAAAACAGCAAAGAAGAAACGAAGAAATGTACACGATTCCTATATGTTGCCACTGACAACTGGTTCGGTGGAGACGACGCTACTTTTGTTTGTCTTCAGTGGGATCGTTGCTATGCGTATCGAAGGAACTGTGACGTCATCACTTAACAGCCCCATCACCTGGTCACCACGCCAGCAGGCGACAACTTTCACACCAAGGTTCAACTCGAGTTCAACTCGAGTGACAGGACTGCACCCAAAAAAGGTCAAACAGGCTAGTAAGTTGTACCCTGCAGGCACGGTGACCAGCTGACTGGTGTACGCAGGAGCACGTGACCGCTTGTTCAACCATGTTCGATTGGGAATAAAGCAGGAACGCTGCATCGCAGCCTTTTCGGACCAAAACCAGTCGACTCAGCGTCCAAAAGACTACAACATATGGACCAATCGCGGTCATCCGTGCTTTTATAAGAACGAAACGGCGCTTTTAGTGACATTTTGCATACAAATCCCCATCTAGTAGGCGCAGTCACCCAGTTTCGGTGGAAGTGCGCGAGTTCGATTGGGATTCAAGTAGGAAGGGAGCGTCTCAGCTTTCTCGGACCAAGACCATTCGACTCAGCACCCCGAAGACTACAACTGGTGAAATTTTAATTTTTGCCTTAACTTCCCCTTTAATGTTTGGCTCAGAAGAAATAGTACGAAGTAGTGGTTGCGACTTCGGCGATGATTTGTAAGAAAGGTTTGCTCCCCACACCGGAGCTCGCGCTATTCCGCCGACTTTACTTGACACTTGACTGACTCACGACTGCCACCCAGAGCACACGAGAAGTCCATCGAACCTTCGACTCGGCAAACCTGCAAGAAAGCACCACTCCCTGCTCAATACACAGTGTTTCGGGGAATTCACCCCTCATCAGTTGAGCTTGAGTAGGCTGAGGAAGATTGTGCCTGAAGAGCACCACTTATATAGTGCTCTCCAGGCACAAACATCACCAGGGATACAAACTTACAGAGACGCTCCGCTTCCAGCGCGATAAACACCTCGTGAACACCAGATAGCAGCGTGAGTCAGTGTCGCTCCTGGACGGTGAGACAGACGTCGAGGACCCTCGGTCATTCGCAACGCTGTCACCTCCAAACCAACTAGTCGCAAGCCCGCGCTGGGCACAACAGTACGAAGTAGTGGTTGCGACTTCGGCGATGATTTGTAAGAAAGGTTTGCTCCCCACACCGGAGCTCGCGCTATTCCGCCGACTTTACTTGACACTTGACTGACTCACGACTGCCACCCAGAGCACACGAGAAGTCCATCGAACCTTCGACTCGGCAAACCTGCAAGAAAGCACCACTCCCTGCTCAATACACAGTGTTTCGGGGAATTCACCCCTCATCAGTTGAGCTTGAGTAGGCTGAGGAAGATTGTGCCTGAAGAGCACCACTTATATAGTGCTCTCCAGGCACAAACATCACCAGGGATACAAACTTACAGAGACGCTCCGCTTCCAGCGCGATAAACACCTCGTGAACACCAGATAGCAGCGTGAGTCAGTGTCGCTCCTGGACGGTGAGCCAGACGTCGAGGACCCTCGGTCATTCGCAACGCTGTCACCTCCAAACCAACTAGTCGCAAGCCCGCGCTGGGCACAACAGTACGAAGTAGTGGTTGCGACTTCGGCGATGATTTGTAAAAAACACTGTGTATTGAGCAGGGAGTGGTGCTTTCTTGCAGGTTTGCCGAGTCGAAGGTTCGATGGACTTCTCGTGTGCTCTGGGTGGCAGTCGTGAGTCAGTCAAGTGTCAAGTAAAGTCGGCGGAATAGCGCGAGCTCCGGTGTGGGGAGCAAACCTTTCTCAGAAGAAATGACCCAAAAATTATTTCCTGACCCCAAAAAAAAGTAGCGCCACCATGTTAGTGGCTATGACAACACCAGTGCATGCATGCAGCTATAGCTAGCTGAGCTTGTAGTTGAACTTGTACTGTTGTACTTGTAGCTTGTCCATGCTGCTGAGTAGATCAACGTCAACGAGTGCTGTGCTCATGCCTTTTTCATGGTGCTTTTTTGGCGAAGGACTTTTCGGTGCATCACCATGGTCATGCCACGCAAAAGCTTCGACCCGGCGTCACCTTTGTACCTAGGCTAGGTACCTACGTTGCTACAATTATGTAGCTAGCTAGACTCACGTCGAGCTGGCGCAATCACGTCGTTTTCAACATCAGTTCGTTTCCAGCTATCCGTGACAAACATGATGGACAGTTCTGGAGTTTTTGTTGCAGCTTTTGGCAACGACCGGAACAAAAAGAGCCAAACTGTAAACCATGATAAACTAGGAAGGGAGATGACCCTTCACAGCCTGAAGGATTTCACTTGAAAAGCTCGGCTGGCAACTAACTTGAAGCAGGAATGATGGAGTGGAGTACACTTCAGTTGAATGTGGGTCCTGCTGGCCTTGCGGATGAATTCAGCGTACCAGCAGCAGGGCAGGGAGGATGGATCAACAAGAGGAAGTCTGAAGTATCGACAACCTCTCGCTGTTTCATACGGTAAGAGCTCAGTAAGCATAATTATACTGCGAGTCTTTATAATCTTCACTAGTTTGAGGGAAAGAGACAAACGGGAAAAGTCTGAAGAAAAAATTGACTGTCACCACCAGAACTCGAACCAGGGACCCTCGCTTGTAGCTAGCGATGCTCTAACCACTGAGCTATGGTGTAGTCGTCATCCCAGCAGAGACTGTTCAACATTTTCTTCAGACTTCTTCAGTCTTTATAATAATAATAATAATAATAATGTCTCTTTCCCTCAAACCAGTCAAAATAATAATTTTGGAAGAGAAAAAGACATATGGATACGAGTTAAGAGTAACTCTCCATCACTGTAACATGATACTATATACAGTCAGAAAGTGCAATAACTAGGCACAAAACTGACAGAGTACTGAAACATTCGACGTCCTGACACCTAGCTTCAACACATCTCCGTAGCGCTAACCGACAGCCTTCCAACTTGGAAGGTTCAAGGTTATGGAAAAGACCAAAGAGGGGAAGGCAAGCGCAACGAAAACGAGCAAAAGCTACAGTCCCAACGGAACAAAGAATGTCGATGGATACTGGACGATGACGAGACCAGTACGTCGAATGTTTCAGTACTCTGTCAGTTTTGTGCCTAGTTATTGCACTTTCTGACTGTATATAGTATCATGTTACAGTGATGGAGAGTTACTCTTAACTCGTATCCATATGTCTTTTTCTCTTCCACATTTATTTATGGCTCAACATCCGAGTTTCAAATAATAATTTTAATATGGCAATAAGTAGGACGAGCTGAAGCGACATGTGGACTACTTTATTAACAATGTAAGCGATGGAGACGATGCAAGAAACCACCTAAAGGGTAAGGAAAAATACATGTAAGAAGAAAAAGAGCAATGGAAAAAAAGATGATTCGAACAAGTTTTCGTACAACACTCTTCAGGAATCACCGTTGTACTAAAGAACACAATGAGAACAAAGGAAATAATATAGCAATCAAGGTAGGGTGACACGTAACAATGACAGCACTGGAATATCGAGGTGCGATTTCTCACAAAAGTGTGCAGAAAACAAGGGTATACAAGTAAGAACTAAGCGTGACAAGTGTGTATCAGCAATAAAAACAAAAAAGTGAGAACGAATGATAATAATAACAATAATAAACAAGATATTCACTGATGAGCGGAACACGAAAATCGATTTTGAATAACATAAAAATCCTTAAAAATTCCATGAACTCGTTGTTGTCTGGCCATGTCTGCATCGATTATACTCCTAATTGCACTAATAAACAAGAAGGTGACAAAACACATTTAGGCACAAGTGGCAACAACGTTGCCACACTACACAACAGAACACTATTTGAACAATTTTAGGGTAATAACACTATCTTTCTGGACACACAAATTCGGCTTATGAATGCGAAAAAAAATTAAAATTATTGTCTCCTCGTCGAATTTTTAAATAATAATAATAATAGTAATAACTTTATTAGGATGACCCAAAGGCTGACCGCCTATCGTGGGGTCCGTCGCATTGATGGATGATGGTACAAGAGATATGGAAGTAATAATTGTTGGTGCAGCACAGGTGTCTCAGGATTATTGTATGCTTGGAGAGCAGCTACAGTTCATGCTCAGTAAAATCCAGTCGAGTCACTCAAGTACACGCCTGGCATTGCGCAGCCCTTCAGATGTACAGTCGAATGTCACTTATCCGGTCGCCAGTTATCCGAGCACGTTGGTTATCCGACAACCCCGGGAGTGGTAATTTTATGACTCTCAAGAGTAAAATTCTTTTAAAATTTTTTTGTTGTTCATTATACGGTGTAATATGCAATTACTTGAAGTAGATGTGGTCAAGTATGCTAACATGTATCTGTACATGGAGCAATTCATGAATATGCATGAATATATTTGGGTATTGTGTACATAAATCAGTGAAATCCAGCCTTATATGCACATAAATAATGATATCAGTTATCCAACATATTCAGTTATCCAACATGCCTGATTCCCGAAGTGGTCGGATAAGTGACATTTGACTGTACTCTCAGTAAAATCCAGTCGAGTCACTCAAGTACACTCTGGGCGTTGCGCAACCCTTCAGATGGCCTTCTAGCTTTTGGCCATAAAAATGCGTCAAACTTTGAGCTTTAGTAAGAATTGTCCTGCAGTCTCCTATTGAATCCTCTTCCAATTATGTTTCTGAAGTCAATTTTTCCAAAGAAAACGCCATAACAAGAATAGGATTTCGGCCAGGTTCTGCCCCAAAGGCACTGAATTGGGAAAAACCATGAAAATCCAGGCCATTTTACTCCACTTGCAACAGTACATTGTGTGTTATGAACCCAGGTTGAGCGATCTTTTTGGAGCCTTTTCAAATTTCAAATTTCGCGGTACTGAACCGTGTACGATAAAATCACACAGGGGCGTCACACACGGTACGACCACGACGACCATGGTCTTACCACTTTTCGTCCAGGATGGTCCACCCAATTCATCCAAAAATAGCAATAAAAAAATTCAAGGATCTTCAGACCTGTACAAAACACCACAATTT